GTGGTCACTATGGTTACAGGGCGCTGCTGGGTGAGACAGCTGTACAGAGCTGAAGCTGGGTGGTATGGTTACAGTGCGCTGCTGGGTGAGACAGCTGTACAGAGTTGAAGCTGGGCGGTATGTTTACAGTGCGCTGCTGGGTGAGACAGCTGTACAGAGTTGAAGCTGGGTGGTATGTTTACAGTGCGCTGCTGGGTGAGACAGCTGTACAGAGTTGAAGCAGGGCGGTATGTTTACAGTGCGCTGCTGGGTGAGACAGCTGTACAGAGCTGAAGCTGGGCGGTCACTATGGTTACAGGGCGCTGCTGGGATCGGGTGCTAAGCGAGATCTGACGCAGCCGCGATGCATAAACAGACACGCCGCTTAGCCGCTTGCTAGCTAGCTAACTACATATGCTAACCTACCGCTGGTGTCGTCACTCGGCAGATCGACCCAGAAATACAGAAAAAAAGTTTACTCCATCTGACTGTTAGTGAGGCTGCTTATCTCATTATCTTATTTGTCACTACTCACCTTTTAAAAGCAGATTCTGACCGCTGCAGTCGTGACTCCAGTCGCCACTCCACTCGGTCCAGTCAGTTATCGTCAGTTAGCTACGCTGCTGAAAATCCTCGTTTGTGGAGCTGAAAGCGTCACCCGGCAGGCGGCGCTGTCTCAGTAAGGACTGTAAGAGAGTCTTATCGAGGTTTAACACTCGCTAAACAAACTCGATAAACTGCCCGCGTTAGCGACCTGAGAGACTCGCTCACTGTAAACGGCTGTAACGGTCGCGCTTGGCTTTAAACGGAGGAACGGCGGAGAGCGCTCGCGCTTCAAAACCGAACGTCCAAGCGGCGGAGTCTCGCGCTCTGATTGGTCTGAAACTCCCGCCAGTCTTTTGTTTGTCCTCCCATAGAGCTTTTTTTCTGGTTCGCACCTCTGAATTAACTGTGCTGTTTTGTTTTTGTTTGTTTGTTTGTTTGAATAGAAAACTGCAAACTCTTGAAATACATAAGACAGCTGTACAGCATTATTTTACAAAGCATCACGAGAGGCTGTGACTGACTGTGATTCTAACATTTACCATTGGAGATGAATTAAAAGTTATTCTGCCATGAACTTCAATGATATAAGGAAATGAGTTTAAACATTTTAAGGTAAAGTAAATGATTTAAGAATTGATTTTTTTTCTTTTGCTCATTTGCTGCTGTAAACACATTTCTGCAATAATCAAAAAACAAAACATACAAAAAAGAATCACAAAAGTACAGCAAGTAAAACCTTAGTGAATGTTCTTTTAGTAATATCACACAAAAACCATGAGATGACAGCAGGCTGTTTCTTGCGGACATACTTGTTATATTCTCATTATATTGTACATTAGGGAGTGCTGTGGTAATCCTGGTAATCCTCTGTTGTAATTTTCAGTTTGGCAGTACCACAGGAATACCACACTCATACCACAAGACTTTTTGTAATGGACCACTCTTTGATCTCAACTGAACTGTCTTAAGACACAACATCTCTGTGTCTTAAGACAAAGTGATGTCTTAAGTCATGCCCCATCTTCAAGACACACAAAATAATTACTTCTTTGTCTTAAGAGGTTAACTTTCATGTCTCAAAACAAAGACAGTGTCTTCACTCATACGTCTTAAGACGTTCTTGAGATGTCTTGGCATAAGAAAATGTTTCAAGACATCTTATAAATACTGTCAAGACGTCTTAAAACACAGTGACTGCTGGGTATGTGTTACTGGTATTGCACTCTCTGAGCAATCGACAACAGTTTGTAAGAGTTAACCTCTTAAAATCCTAGGATTATTGCATAAGGCTTATTATTCAGTAACTACAGGGACTTTGATGCAAACTAGTTGAATTATTATAGAAATGTGTAATAAAACTTGAAGTATGCAGACGACACTACAGTCATTGGTCTCATCCGAGTCTGCTTACAGACGGGTGGTTGATCAGGTGGTCATTTAGAGCAGCCACAACAACCTGGTGCTGAATACAGTGAAAACAGTGGAGATGACGACAGTGGACTTCGGGAGGAGCCCTCCAACCCTGCCAGCACTCACCATCCTGGACAGAACTGTGATGGCGGTAAAGTCCTGCAAGTTCCTGGGCACAACAATCACCAGGGACCTGAAGTGGGACAGCAACATCAGCTCCATTATCAAGAGAGCCCAGCAGAGGATGTACATCATCAGGTCTGCAGAGAGGACAACGGGTTAAGTTACCCACATTGCTGGAACTGCAAGCCTCCAGAACCAGGAAGCGTGCAGAGAAGATCTCCACTGACTCGTCACACCCCGGACATCACCTGTTCCAGCTCCTTCCCTCAGGCCGGCGCTTCAGCCAGATGAGGTTTAGGACATCCAGACTACAGAGAAGCTTCTTCCCACAAGCCATCACTCTCTTACACAGTTAATTATTACACATAAACAATATTCCAGCTTCTAAACAGCACTTCTAAATATATTGGTATATAGTATCACACTCAACATTCCATCTTCTGAAACTACCATCTCAGACCAGTGTTTATTCTAGCACCTCACTCACCTGCCTTATTACCCCACTTATCTGACTGTCACCTCACTGATCCCTTTCTTTGCCACTATACACCCTTTAACTGCTGCAGCACTCACCACTTTAACTTAAGACTCATACTTTGCACAGTGTAAAGGTTACAGATATGACTGTCTGTGTGTGTGTGTGTGTGTGTGTGTGTGTGTGTGTGAGTGTGAGAGAGAGAGAGAGAGAGAGAGAGAGAGAGAGAGTGTGTGAGAGAGAGAGAGTGATGGTAGGAATGCATGTTTTGTTTTATTTTGTTTTATTTTATTTTATTCACTACAAATAAATGCTTGTCTGGCCCTGTGAGCTCCTGTAACCAAAACCAAATTCCTTGTATGTGTAAGCATACCTGGCCAGTAAAGCTTGATTCTGATTCTGATTCTTATTCTGATTTACATCGAATGAATGATTCATTTCCAGTGAGTCTTGTGGAAAAACAAAACATTCATATTAAATACTACTCTTGGCAAGAACCCTGAAAAAGTATACCTAAGTAGTGTCGTTTTTTGGAAAGCATTTCATTCATTTTCTGTTGTGGACATTCCATGAATGTTGATCTGAAACCTGACCCCAATTACATCTTCTATTTAAAAAATGCCCTTAAGGCGATGGTGGGCTCCAAATATCAAGAAGACAATAAAAAAAGTAATGACAGAGGTGATAAATGCAACAGCTGCAAACCATCAGGTATGCAGACCTCAGTAAACATTGATACCTACATAATCATGCTGCCATTTTAATGATGAACAAAACAAATTCTCCACCACATTCTGAGACACTGTTTGTCTGTTCTCCTAGGTACGTGGGAAACAAAGAAACAAGACCACATGCTCCATCACTGGTAAAACTGATAATATCTGCTCTTCTTTCACAAGTACGTCATGTTCTATGTTTTGCTCATGATCTGAACAGACTAAACCTCTAATCTGCATAAGATACATTTGCACTCTTAAAATATAGATGCCTTTTTTAGTTCTAACACCATTACAAAAGAGAGCATCTCAAACATCCAAGAGCAGATAGCAAGCAAACGGTAGCACTTTATTGTATAGTACTGCAAGTACATAATACTGAATGGGTAAATATGTTCTAATTGCATGTCATTGCATGGAATACTTTGCAATTACATTGTATCACTTTTACAGCAGTACTACAATGCAATGATTACTTAGAATTTATCAGATCACAAAGTCATAGTCTATAAGTAGAATGTGTGAGGTTTGAGAACAGAGAGGAGTCATTTAGAGGGTCGTGGTCTAAGTTCGTTCTCTTCTGTTCTCGTGAAAAAGTGGCGATGACATCTTCAACCTACAATGAGGAATTAACACTCAGGTGATGTAGAAAGCTCTGTGAGAGAGCAGGCCTCAACTAAGCTTGTTATTGTTTATGTATTTTTTTAGTTAGTCTTCAATTTCAATTAAAATATGTTGCATAGAAATTAAAACAAAAGAGAAAAATTGAAAATTAACCTCAAATGATCTCTGCAATCTAATCTAGTGTCTTAGTAAAGTAAACTTTACTAAGACACTAGATTAGTAAACTTGGAAAACTGGTGAATCATCCCAGAAGTGGGGGCCTGAGAGTTATAAGGCTAAAACCACTACTGACAAAGAGAAATCTAAATGTTTGTCTCACATGTGCCAAAAAAAAAACATTCATGGCCTCCATGCCTTTGGACTGATGAGTTGAATATGCTGCTTTTTGGAAGGCACAGGTCCTAATATTTCTAGTGTAAAGCTAACATAGCTTTCCATAATAAGAACATCATACCAACTGTGAAATATGGTGGTGGTAGTGTGATGATGTGATGATGCTTTGCTGCTTTAGTGACTTGCCATGATTGAGGAAATCATTAATCTGAGGCACAAGAGCAAGTCCACCTCTGAATTGCTCAAAAGAAACAAAATGAAAGTTTTGGAGTGGCCTAGTCAAAGTCTTGACTTGAACCCCTTTGAGATACTGTGGAACTTAAATGTGAGGTTCATGCTTGAAACCCCCTCAGTGTGACTGAATTAAAGCAATTTTGCAAAGAAGAATGGGCCAAACCTTCTCCACAATGATGTGAGAGACTGATCTCCAGTTATAGGAATCGTTTGTTCACAGTCGTTGCTGCTAAAAGTGGCGTGATCAGCTATTAGGTTTAGGGGAAATTACTTTTTCACGTGATGTAGGTGTTGCAAAAAGTTTTTCCTTCAATAAATGAACTGATCATTTAAAAAACTGTTTTATGTTTCTTCTTGTTCTCCTTGTCTTACATTCTGTATGAGTACAGGGCTGGTGTGAGACTCGTTTTCAGACTGGGAGTCACACACTTATGTATTATGGTGAATTTCTGTTCCACCTCAAAAAGTACCTTCAGTTTCATTTAATCTCTATTCAATGTATGAGACTCCATTATTATCAGAAAATCGGGCCTGTACCACATTAGGTTCTGCACATATACATGGATCACCCTCACTGGTATGGCATGGTGGGCAGCAGGGAAAGCGGAGAGTGGCTGAGAGAGCGCAGCTGCTGCTGCCTCCACCCCAGTAATGCGCGGAGTGATGCTGTGAACTGCAAGGAGATCTGCTGGACAGTGGAGGTGAACGCAGTGCTAAGTCTCTCTCAGTTGTGAGGACACTGCACCTTGGTACAGGATACAGCCCCGAGAGAGAGGGCGGAGAAGCGCACAGCCTGTGGCACGTTCGTATAATGGACAAAAAAAGCACCACACTTGCAGTTAAAGGGACAATTCTTCCTAAATAAGTCGATGCTGGGGCCGTTACTAATGCAGCACTGTCATGTGTGGTATTTCATGCTGGGCTGTGGCTTAGATAGTGTGGTTTCTGTTTGCCATGAATGTGAAGTATATACTTAGAAGTGACCTGCCTGCTTCCTGGCCGCTGAACGGCTGTTCTCCACAGCTGCTTTCTTCAACAAAGAGCATTCGTGTAAAGGATAGTGTTTCTCCTGTCTTAGTCTATGCAGAAGCCACAGGATGATCTGAAACAATTTTGTGCCAGATATTCAAAAATGGAGGAAATCCTGAGGGGGCAAATACTTTTTCATGACTTTAAAACTTGGAATGTTTAAAGTATTTTAGTACTGATGATTTACAGGTTTGATTTATGCAGATGTTGGTGCTCAGCAGTTCTTCCCTTTAAGTTTCCTGAAATGTATTGTTTTCCGTCTCTCTCTCTATATCTCTCTCTCTCTCTCTCCATCTCTGTGACGTGTGCTTTGAGTGTAAGAACACAGGAAGTGTTGATCGTTGAATGCACTGCTCAGTCAGTCAGTCAGTCCGTCATTACGGGGACAGTATGGAGTTCAGGTCACTCTCTGTAATACTCTGTGAGTAAATGTTCTCTTTATGTCTTCATTAGAGTGAGAGCTGCTGTATGAAGGTGTTAATATTCAGTCTGAGGGTTCTGAGTGATCAGCTTCTGTGTGATTCAGTAACTGAATGTAGTTCAGATAGTTTACAAGCTTTTTTATGCTGAAATCAGAGTGTGGAGAGTTTCAGTTGGAGGTCCGTTAACATGTTTTATTATAAAAACATATGAGTGTCTACTCTGTATTGCAGGTCATTATCAATAAACATGCATTTTTGTGTCCTCAAGACACAACATGACATTCCATGCTGAATGATAGTTGTTATGTCTTTAGTGTTTGTTATTGAAATTTAATTGACACACAAATGCTGAAAAAAATGACATTTTAGAAGAAAATTTATAATAATATTCAACATTTACTACTCTGTCGATTTTTTTATTAAAAAATGTTGTGTAATTTATATGAATATTGATTATTTTCTGCATGTCCTGAAGTCTAGTGTCCATCTTGTTACAATGTGGTCACAGTCAAATTTGTAAAGATAGAAAGACTTTAACAGGCCATTGTTTTTCTGCTTTGGTAGGAAATTAGTTGCGAAAGACAATTCTAGACTAAGCTATTAAATAAACCAGTTGTTAATACATTTTGAGCTCCTGTAGTGTACAGTATGTACTTTTAAGTTACATCTTAAACATTCTGTAAATTCATTTACACTGTATACTGTTGCTACTTCAAAAATGAATGGTAATACAACAGTTCTGAATGTTCTCCTATAAAGCTTAACAAGACTGGAGAACACATGGCAAAGGATCCGAGACTGTTCCTCTATACATTCCTCCAGATTCTGAGATCCACTCTGTGGACTCTCCTCTTCAGCTCATCACACAGGTTTTCTATGTGTTTAGGTCAGGGGACTGGGGTGGCCAAGGCAAAACCTTAATTCTGTGGTCAGTCAACCTTTTTTGTCTTGATTTTGAGGTGTGCTTTGGATCATTGTCCTGCTGGATGATCCAAACTATGGCACACTTTAAGCTTCCTGGCTGAAGCAGCCATGTTTGGATTTAATATCTGCTGGTACTTGATGGAGTCAAGACACGTGGTCATAAAGATGATGTTTGATTCTAGTTAGGGAGACATTCTGACCCCAAGACCTAAGTGATGTCTGCAATTCCTGTGATCCTTATAGATGTTTTGTCCACTCAAATCATCTTCCTCACTGTGCGTGGGGTCAGTATAGACATATGTCCTCTTCGGAGCAGATTCTGAAAATCTCCAGTTGTTCTTAATTATTGCCTTGATAGCGGATATGGACATTTTAACTTTAACATGACGTCACTGGGGCTGAGAGTGCATCTGTCTGAGAGTGCATGTCTGCAGTCCGACTATACTGAAACATCCTTTTGTCACACATCACTGCTGTATTTTCTGGTGTTTCTAATAATGATAGGTGACCAGGGGTTGGGGGGGAGGGGTGTTTGGCCTGTGTTTCATCTCATATATATTCCTCGGTGAATCAGGAAGTCAGGGCTGACCATTTAAGTGTTCTAGTATTTGGGTCAGGAGACGCAACACTGCCATGAACCAGGTTTAAGCCACAATCTCAAATGGCTCCCTTCTTTGTAGGTCTTAAAATAATGGCTAGTGCACCTAAACAGTGCACAGTGTGTCTAACAACTTTGGATTCAGCCATGTATGTATAAATTTATACTGGACATAAAGTGTAACATTTGGGAGTAAAAGCCAACATTTCATAATTCACATAGTGCACTATATAGAGATCAATGAGCCATTTTAGATTCAGCCTTAGGATTTTCTGAGGTATTATCATAAAGATGTTTAACATTGCACACTAATGGGCTGTTTTTTATGTTGCAGTCTTCAGCAAGTTACTGTCTTGTGCTATGTTAAAGAATGCTAAATATTGCACTTAAAAGAAGCTTGTATCCATTAAATGGCTCTGAAACATGAAATGCCCATTAAAGTTATCTGCTTTTGCCAAAAAAATTGTATTGTTTTTTTTTTTTAAATAAAGTTTAATTTTGGACTTTATCTGTATTTTGGTGAGTTAATTTTACTTAATAACAACCCAACTGCAGTTTTATTGACATTCCCAAAAAGTAGATATCCACTTTTGCAAGTGAACTTTTCATATATAGTCTTATGGCAGTGTTTTATACAGTCTAATCATGTGTTAGTGACAGTACCAGTGGTGGTGGTCAGTGCTGTTGTAGACGCGCTGTGAGACTCTGCAGTTTTTGGTGTTGGTACTGATGTACAGAATATACTTTCTAATGCGCACATCATTTCCAGATGAATAAGATACAGGGTGAATATTGCAACAGAGGGACACTTTTAGAAATGTTACTTTCTCCAGCACTTTTACTGTGATCTTCATGTCAAATAATCTAACTTCATGTCATATAATCTAAGGATAGATTTATTCAAAACTTCAAATCTCTAAAACAGTGTTCAAAAGCCCACACTAGAAAATACAAGATGCAAATAAAATGACCTTTTAGAACAACTGATGAGCAAAACATTACTAAACACTTAGCTAAACATGACAGTTTCGAAATTGGTGTATAATTATTTAGATCTCGCCTTGTTTGTGTAGGGGAACAATATGAGCTGTTTTTCAGATATTGTGAATTCTATGTGATTAAATGGAAAGATTCAGAATATATGTAATATTTTGTACATTAACTAGGCTAGGATGTAAGAAATAGGTGTCCAGTCCATCCTCTCCTGTGGTTTTTCATGGCTTAATGGCAGTGAGAGCGTACACTGCTATATGCGGACAGAAGTGATTGAGTGTGAAGAGCCTATGGCAAAGGCTAGCGGTAGAGGTTATATCTGGTTTGTTTAGTTTCAGTCTCAGGCCAGTGCTATCAAATATATGACCAGTGTATTAAAACACTTGGTAGAGCCCTTTTTTGGTCAGGTGGTCACAATAGGGGTTGCAATAGGGAAGGACCTGGTTTTGATAGAGTTTACCGCCTTCCAAAAATTTTGATTATTAGAAGAAGAGCTAGTAATCAAACAAAGATAATAATCTGATTTGGTGGAGGTAAATTTATTCCTCAACTTCCTCAATGATCTCTATGATCTATTCCAGAGCATGAGGCAACAGTCCATGCCTTAATTCCTGCTTTAAGCAATGAAGAAATTTCATTGGTGGGCCAGGGAATTTTTTGTAGGGTTGTTTTTGTAGAATGTTTATTTTTTATTATTTATTTTTTAATAAAAAATGATGTCATGTATTTTCTAGAACAGAGGAGCACCAGTAGCCAATCTGACTCATGTTGTTTATGTGTCAAACTCCTCATTTCACTCAAACTCTTCAGAGTAAACAACAAAAAGGTATCGGAACAGTAAACAGGACTATACTTTTAAAACTCTGACAATCCAAAAATGTAATTTTGGCAACACCATTCAAAACAAATTGATGTGTGTACTTTATAAGCTGCATAAAGGTAAAGGCCAGGCATACAAGGTAACTGAATTGTCAGCTTCAAGTGGCAAATGTTGGGATTGACCGTCAGAGTCCCCCTGCCCTCCCCAGCATTAGGTTACTCCTGCTGGATAAACCGTAAACTCACCCAGCCTAAATTCCTAACGTAGCTGTAAAGTGTAGTTCACTGAGGCATAGAGCTCTTGTTTAAAACTGAATGAGCTTAAAGCTCAAGCTTCTAGAAAATACATGACATCATTCTTTATTAAAGGACTAATATGTAATAGATTTACTGTGCTAAATTATAAAATAACCATGATATGCCATCAGAGATTAAGGAAACATGCTAAAGCTGAAATAAAACACTGGCTTCTCCAAAAACATTGCCATAGCCAGATTGTTCTCCTTTAAATTTTGTGTTCCAGAGCGGAAAGTCTGTTTGTGTTTTGTCTTGTGATTCCACCTGATGCCCTTTTCTCAGTACTTTTTCAACACCCCAGGCTTCCAGATATGGAACAAATTGGCAGGCAACCATAGCGTGCTGCAGCCATGGAAGCAAGCAAACAAACTGGATCAACAGAGATAACGTTAGATTTTACCTGACCTAAAAAGCCTCTGCATTCTTCTAAATAGCTCAATGACCAGAGTAAAACATGAGTAAATATTGGCAATGCATTTGAAAGATGGAGACAGTTGCCCAGAAGGACTTAAATATAGATGCTGAGTTGGCAAATTTTCTCCTGAACAGGTAAGCATTGAGCTTCAGCTAAAGTTAGCTAAGCTTAACTAATTTAACATGGCTACTAGTAGGGCATGGAAAGTAGTAACATCAGCTCCAGAGTGTGTATTTTCAGAGCCATTGGGTTTTGTTTTGGGATAACAGGCTTAGCTTTGGCTACCATACTTAGCCAGACATGCATCTAGCTAACATAACACTGACAGAGTTATGAAAAATCCTCATGAACTGGTTCATAATTTGCAAACAATAAAAACTTTGCTAACGTAAACATTAGCTGATCAGCTTACAGTATAGGACTCATTGTCCCTTGCCATTGTCAAAGTTTAATGGTGTGCACATCTTACGCTGGTTTCTTTAGGTTCAATTTCCTCAACATGGCAACCCAAGTGAGCTTCAAGCCTGGGGAGGAAGGGGCAGATAACTTTTTTGATAACTCAGATAACTCTTTTGGATTTAGACTGCAGCACCCATACCAACACTTGCTCTCAGTATTACATGTTGTTCTTTTAATAATATTCTTTGTTAATAATATTGTTAATTTTTTTTATTTACAGATCATTATAATAAATGACAGTATGATAACTTTAACTGCAGTTATACTTTTTCACCTTAAAATGCTTTACTGCTCTTTCAGACTTCATTCTACCTGCGATACCAGCGAATAATTTATATTAATGCATCATATTTTCTGTTTCTGTCTCTACTTTAGTGCTGACTGTTCTCATCCACAGTGGACAAAATCAAGGTAAATCATTCACATGTATATGAACTGGAATATTTTCTTTGCAGTCATATTCATTTGGACATATAATGTACATTATTCATTTAATAGATGACTATGAAAAGTGGCCCAGATCAATAAAATCAAAAGTGTTAACATGTTTATTGCCTGTTAGAGATCAGTGTGTAAATTCAACTGATGTTGTTAATGTTTAGGAGATCAGTGTAGTGTTTTTTATGCGTATTTATCTGTAAATTTCTGATTATCAGCACTAAAGTCTGAGTCAATCTGAGGACTGTTTGAGACACGATGGAAACTTTTATACCAAACACGTTGTTCTGGGGGTTTTAAATGGCCTTTTTAGGTAAACGCAGGATCTGAACAGTGGTTTTCTGAACTGGATTACTGACTAAATTATGGCTAAAATCTCTACAGAGTCACTCTGGACACATAGGGTTAGTCCTGATGGTCAGCATGATGTGTGATTTGCGTCACTGTTTTTAAAGTGTCAGCTCAGCTGAACATTAGCATTCATTAAGTAGTTAAAGCATGTATTAAAGAGGCAATCTAGAAGATGAAAAGGGGAAAATAAAATATCACTAACTACAAAATTGTATAGAATATAAACATTTTGCAGTGTTCATGGAATTTTCATGGAGATTCTTGACATCAGCTGTCTGGCCTAATCCAAAGGCTAACAGTCTTATTTTCATTTCCAAGCCCATAGCAAAGATCACTTAATAAACATTAAGAAGAGACCTAATCCCCACATAAATATTCAAAACATTTAATAATGAACATCATAAATTAATCAAAAATGTACTCGATCTCAGCACTGCAGTGACACTGACATGGTGGTGGTGGAGTGGATCAGACACAGCAGTGCTGCTGGGGTTTTTAAACACTGTGTCCATTTACTGTCCACTCTATTAGATGCTCCTACCTTGTCTCTTTTTAGTGTCTCTTTCTAAAATGCATCTGTTCTTATCAACAGTTTTCTAAAACACTTACACAAATGTACACCAGGGCCTCCTTCAGTCTCATGCACACCAGTGGCTCCTTCAGTCTCATGTACACCAGTGGCTCCTTCAGTCTCATGTACACCAGTGGCTCCTTCAGTCTCATGTACACCAGTGGCTCCTTCAGTCTCATGCACACCAGGGTCTCCTTCAGTGTTATTGCATCAGGGGCTCCTTCAGTTTTAAAACGTTGTGCACCATGTTGCTACGGTTTCCGGGTTGAACGACATGTTTCGTTAAAACTATGTAAAACAGAGTTCAACTGGCTTTCAGATGTGTTTTCTCTCATTTGATGGGCTTGTCAGAGGTGTTACTCAATCAGCAGTGACTTGCATTTAAACCCCACCATGTCAAAAAGGCAGTGAACACAGTGGACTGTAACAAAGTCCTCTACACGCTGCAGCTCAGTGTTCACAACTATTAAAGAGTTAGAGTATTAAACCCTTATTTAAAATCATTTCATCAGGGTCCAAAATTCTTCTACAAGATGCCAAGAATGGCCTTCTCAGCTGCCATAGCTGCAACTCTTACATAACACTGTGTAGCTCCGAAGGGGACTGGGGTAAATATGAATATTAATTTGAGGAAACATTTTGCATAATTTCTACATAATTTATTTTATTCGTGGCCACAATTTTTTTATTTAACAGTTAATCTCTTTTTCTTTTAATCGTGTGCATATTTTCTTGAATTCATGGGTACATTTTTTTTGTATTCGTTCCCACAAACAACAATTTGTTCTCACATTTTCTTGTAATCTTGCACATTTTGTTTTTATTTGTGCACTTTTAATCATCTGCAAAGAAAATAAATGTAGCCGATACAGACCGTGTTATTTGTCCTGTGTACAAGTAGCTAACAGGTCCCTGAAACTATCTGAAGGCTTTTGATTTGTTAGATTTATCTGTTAGACAGAGATGCTTAATAGGATCTGATTTTGATTTGTGTCATGAAGACACTGTAGCTACTCTTCACAGCGGGGCTACAGAATCAGCAACGCGGTCTGTACCTGTTACATTTATTTTGTTTGCAGAAATGAAAAAGATGTGCATTTTTAAACATGCGCACAATTACAAGAAAATAACAGAAGGAATTGTTATTCGCAGAAACAAATGAAGAAATTGGTTCCATGAGTATGCAGCCCTGGTAAAAAGTGGAAGAAAAATCTCTGCAAAACCAGCCAGTAAAGAATGTCTGTAGAGTTACCTTTTTGGAGAGACTTGTTTCTTTGTTTTTTTGGACAGTGTCTGTATCTCTCTATTCAGATAATATTTCAGTAAGGACATTGTATAAACACATGATGAATTTAAATATGAAAAAGAGTGAAAATCAACATCTGCAGTTCATCTGAAACCAGTATTCTCAAACAGACACTTAAGATCCAGTACAGCTCCAGTGTAGTGGATCTCATGTGCACTGCAGATGTTTTTAGACAGTAAAATTATCCAGACTGAATTAATCATGATTAATGATTTCAGAAACTGGTCTGTTCTGAAAGTATAATAATAGTGTGATAATAACAGTTACAGTGTGGAGGTGTGTTCTGTGAGCTACTATTGAAAAATGATCATGCTTTATAATTTACATAGACATAGAAAATATCTTCATCAGAATTGTCTGTTCTGAGGATTTCTTTCTCTCTACAGAGAGACCAAAAGCTGTGGTGTCCATACAGCCTGATAAACAGGTGTTTATAGGAGAGACTGTCACTCTCAGATGTGACATACAGGGAGAAGGAGTCTCTAACTGGCAGCACAGCTGGTTTAAAGATGATTCATCCACTCCTGTCAGTAATGAACAGCAGTACAGAATCAGCTCTGTTACAGAGTCTCACAGTGGAAAATACACCTGTAGAGGAACAGAGAGAAGAACATCACGCTACTCACACACCAGTGATGCTGTTACACTGACTGTATCAGGTGAGTGTGATCATCTCACAGCAGTAAACATGAGATCAGAGAGTTCTGTGTTCAGTGGAGAGTCAGTCACTCTGAAGTGTGAGATTAATACTCATGATGGATGGACATATCAGTGGTATAAAGAGGATAAACAGAGTAGATGGACTGCAGTGTCTCAGTCTGTGTATTACACTGTAAACAGAAACACTCTCACCATCAGAGAAGATGCTGTGTTTAATGGAGATCGGTATCAGTGTAGAGGAGAGACATTACAGCACAAGCTCAAGCAACCCCTGAATATTGTTCAGCCCTTTATCAGAATCCCCTGAAAATGTTGCTGTCAGCCAGAGACGTTATATGTGAGTAGACCGGCCACTGGTTAAAACAGAGAACCATTTGTAATGTCTTCTGGGTTTCTCAAATGCTACAGGGTGCTCCCGAGCAAGTCCAAAATGAATGGGTTAATATGGAGTATTTGAGTAAAATCATAATTTATAAATGCTTAAACATTTTTAAGATAAAAGAATGCATTCATATTTTAACACTGCTGTTAGATTTTTAAGCACTTATTTGCATTTATAAGCACTCCAGCTGGTTTCGAACAAGAAGATGGCAAAGCTGACTTCAGCCTCATAGAAAATCAACCATTGACAGACATTTTACAAGAAACTATTCTACTTTTGCAAAAAAGTTTCCTGCCAGAGAAACTAAAGCTTACAGCAGAGTGAATTAAGTCTGGGTTTTTTTTTTTTAATAAATTTGTTAGCATATACTAGGACATTAGCACATACTGACACATGTTTACAGACACAACAAAAATGTTGTGGCTTTCAAGGTGGTTTGATTTATGAGGAAAGGACAAAATAGCATTGACATTTGGGTTGCGATCCCTGGTCTAACTTCTACCTAAATACATCAAGTCTTCAAAGGTAAGACATGCATATTTTTATGCCCACTGTGGCAGAACACCTGAACCAAGGGTGGCTGTATTTAGGTGTTCAAGCTTACTGTGTTGTTTTTCCAAATCTCATCTGTCTGACTGATTTTAATGCAGTCATGTGGTCTTTATTGGGCAGAAGCTGTGCCTGTGGTGAGTGGCTTTATACTGTAAACAAAGTTCTGGTGCTACACCTGCCTTTCTCTCTAAGACAAGCAGAGATGCACATAGGAAACATTTAATATGACTGATCTGAGTAAAGCTATAGTAATAAACACACATTTAAACATCGCCAGTCCCAATAAACTGCATTGGGCAGAATTTCCAGAGTAGAGATATTAGGGTTAATCCTGAGAAAAGCCCTTCATATCACAGACTTTTTAATGGTAATCAGTATTACATTTATAGAATAATGCTTTGCAGTATTTATATTTTGAACATGTGGTTTCTGATACGTCAGATATATTAATCACCAATATGAATTAAAAAAAGGTGTAGATACTCAATACTAACCTGTTCTCTCCTCTCCTCTGTTTTCTCAGCTTTACCCAGAGCTACATTGACTGTAGAACCCAAATGGAGTCCCTTGTTCACTGGAGAGTCAGTCACTCTGAAGTGTGAGATAGAGTCTTACAGTAACTGGAGATATCAGTGGTATAAAGGCAGCAGTAGAACTGCAGTCAATCAGTCTCAGACAAACACCTTCACCATCAGATCAGCAGCAGATCAGGATCAGTACTGGTGTAGAGGAGAGAGAGATAACAGACCCTCATCATCACAACTCAGCAATCCTGTTACTCTCACAGTGAAAGGTAAGATTTATAGTGATATGTCATCACTGTAAAGTGTGAGTTTATTCAAATCTTTTAATTTGTGTAAAATTAGATTACTGGTAACAAAACATAGCAAATTAATTTAATTAATAAATACAATATTGTCTTTATGTTGTGACATACATGACACCAGTTTTGACCAGCAGGGGGCTTTTTTCCCTCTTATGTTTTTAGGATCCAGATGATCACTGAAGAGCTAAGTCGCTAACAGTTAGCATTATATACCAGCTTTGATCAGCAGGAAGTGGCTGTTTTTCCCCGTATTCCCCGACCAAGTAATAAACAAGTACTTAGCATTAACATGCTAATTGTAAGCCATTCAGCTCCCCAGAACCCACCTTCTTTTTTGTCATCTTACCCTTCAGGGCTATATGTATTTTTTATATTAGTGGCTTCTAATCCAGGTTTTGGGCATTTCTTTCTTAGAGCTTCATGTGTGTTACTTTAGCATAGCATTTTAATCTTTAACTTTACTTTGGAAAAGGCATTTCCAATGACAACAAATAATGATTTATTTAGTAGATAAATTGAGCGTTTAGGTTGGGAGTTTAGTGTCTGTACTGTCTGAACTGTGTGCTTCATCTCCAACTGCAGAAAAACCTAAACCTGAAATCACATCAAACCATAAAGGAGCTGCACTGATAAGAAATCCAGTGGTTCTGTACTGTGAGCTGGATCAGTCTGCTGGATGGAAGTTTTACTGGTCCAAACACACACAGAACCCTGAGAATGAGATCAAGACTGAAACACACTCCTACAGCATCAGCTCAGTCAGTGTCTCTGATGGAGGACAGTACTGGTGCAGAGCTGGGAGAGGAGACCCAGTCTACTACACTCACTACAGTGATGCTCTCTGGATAAAGGTTACTGGTGAGTAGAAACTTTCTGCTTCTGATCTGGTGCTGAGCATGGACTATAAACTACATGAAGACAGCAGAGCTTTAATATACACAGCTTCATGATCAGTGCACCTTTAACATTTTACAGTTTTATTAAGGTTGTGTGGGGACGTCAGATCAAGCCTACTATGTGAACAGGACAGAATAAAGTAGCACAAGGCTAGTTTTGGTTTGTCTGACTAGCTGCCTAAAAGGAAATGTCTACTGTTTTCAAAATTCTGATTCTTGCATAATTCAAACATCATGTGATGATGTGAACAAAGACAGAGTGATTTGATGTGGGATGGTGCGTTTTAGAGAAACTTACTTATTATTTCATTACAGTGGTGATGATGGGAACCAGCGGTCACAGTGTCTACAGTTTTATTTACTGTCCTAAACCAGCAGCTACACATTTTCATTGTAATTTTGACAATTATAAAATAGTGGTAAATATGAAAAGTAAGGTTTTTTATGTTGCCTCATAAAATCTTACATGTACTTTGGACATTAAAAATGTGTTTTAGGCCAAAATCTGATCTCAAAACCACAATAAAACAATTTCTCATACGTTCAGCAATATTATCACAACCATTTCAAGAAATAATTTTTTGTGGGAGCTTTTTGAGGCATTAAATACTTTAGTGTTTATTTGCTGAAATGAACATATTAAAAATAAATAAATAAATAAATAAAAATAAATAAAACTGTTTTATTGTTTTCTCCACCATTTTAAACTCAGAAAATAAATAGAAATGGTGCACTAAAGTTGTAGAGATGTATTAACTTATTTTCACTTAAATCAACAAAACATCATTTCACGTTCAAACTGTTCAAACTTTCACGTACAACTGTAGTAACAGCTTATTGTGTGGAGCTCATAGCTGAAGAGGTGATTAAGGTGATCATTTTCATCTACTAATACACAGTACATTAACTGAGCTTATTAAGGCTGTTATTTCTTCACCTGCTGGAGTCTCTGTGCATTATGTGTGAGGCTGGAATGAGTCAATGATCAGACTGTACTGTAGAGATGAGAAGATTCCTACAAAGAACTGAATTGAAAGACTGAAAAGTTGTTAGCCTGTTGTTAGTTTCTCTCTCTAGCCCTTCCATTTACATAAGGACTCATTTACAGAGAAACTGTGAGGTTATCTACCATTTAATAGAGGGAGGCTGATGAATCTTTTGTTGTGTGTTAAACATGTTAGATATGTAAATGAACTAATGGAAATAGTCCAAAATGACCTGGAAATAAAGTTATGAGTTGTTACTTTAAAGTACAAAGAGATACAAGATTTGGTTATAGTAGAGGCATTTGATGCCATTGTGCCAGTTAAGTGTATTCATTAAGCTGCATGCTAAAATCTTCACTGTATTTTTCAGGTACAATTCGTTCAGTCTCTCTGATGGTCAGTCCCAGCAGAACTCAACACTTTACTAAAGACTGTCTTTCACTGAGCTGTGAGGGACAGAGTGACTCTGCTGGATGGAGAGTGATACGATTCACACACAGTGAGAAGGTGTCCGATTGTTTATCAGGCTGGGGATCAGTTACAGGATTTACATGCAGCATCAGCTCCCTCAGTACATCCCACACTGGAGTGTACTGGTGTGAGTCTGAATCTGGAGAGAGCAGCAATCCTGTCAACATCACTGTGCACAGTGAGTCTATGTTACTATTAGCACTAATTGGAGCCCAGTAACAGTGGAAAAAGATAGAAATGCTCAAAACTGAAATGTTTTACAAACATTATATTTTAATTATTTTAAAGATTTGGATGCAATAATAGCCCATGAAGACTAAATCCGCATTTGGATTGGCTATAATTTTCTACAAACCTAGATGTTTGCATCACACATGGTCATATCACAGAAATCTAAAAGCTGATGATATTGTGAATATTAGGGATGAGTCTGAATTTTTAAAAACATTTTATTAAAAAAATATAAATTAAAAAAATCAAATAGTAAATTAGGAATCTCAATATGCAAATTAGCATGTCTCTATTTATCTATATTAGTGAGATCTCGCTTTACTGATTCATTTGATTTTCTTTCTTCTCTTGCTAATGTGCTCCTAGTATAGAGAAGATGGAAATTATATCACCCAACTATTTCTCAGTTCAGGAAGTGTTTAATATAGATATGCATGCAAATCTATGAGCTAAAACTCAAATGATGATTAAATTGACCGAAGAACTGTCAGAACAGCCTCCAAAATCACAGGCACTGACTTTACACATTCCAGTGTCAGGCAAGGGTTCAGTCTACCATCTCAGATGTGCCCCACCAAGCTCATGTCCTTATCTGCTGTCTTCCCTCTGACAAATGCTTCCAAAGCAACACAACATGCATCGATTACCTCTCTTATGATCTCTTACATTGATCTTCTACATACTACACTATATATTCACAGTGTGAAGTTTCTGCAATTACGGCCATCTTCCTTATTCTTTACTGCCAGTCACTTGTACTGTTTGGTGTCACTGTTATTTCTTGTGTGTGTAATACCTCCCTCCCTTATTGCCCCGTGTACTTCTATTTATATTTAAATATGTAGAAGCATGCTGCTGCAGTGTAAGAATGTAACTGTATTTTTGAATGCCCTCTATTCTGAATACATATGACAATAAACCAAACTTGAATATAGAATGAGACAGCTGATGGATTAGTTCAGTAAAAAACAGAAAGTAATTCAACTTCTCTAATTCTCTTTTGGGAAGAGGGAGACAAAAACACTGAAAAAAATAATGAATGTGCATGACTTAAATGTGTACATCAGTTCCACACAACTTGAATTAAGTAAATTACTTAAGTACTTACAAATAGTAATCATGTTGATTTAATATATTTCATTCATGTGGAGCCAATGTTCACATTTTAATCAACAAATTTAAAGCAACCTTTAAGCAACCATTGTTCAGTTTACTGGCCAATCCAAATGTAAACAAAACAAGTAGCAACAGTAAAAGAGGAAATTACTCCAGGACTGATCTACTGATAACTTTCTCTACTAAAAAACATACCATGTGAAAACAGAATATAAGAATTTGTATCCATCCCACATTTACACATTTACATCTGTCACTACTGAGCTCTCTGAGTTATAATTCCTGTGTTCTCTACAAATTCTTTCCTCACTGTTGTTTTACATTGTCCTACAGATGGTGCTGTTATCCTGGACAGTCCTGTTCATCCTGTGAATGTGGGAGATCCTCTGACTCTGCGCTGTTTATATCGTGACCCAAAGCCCTCAAACCTCACAGTTGAGTTCTATAAGAACGGATCAGTCCTCCAGACTCAGACTACAGGAGAGATGACCTTCCGTACTGTCTCAAAGTCAGATGAAGGTCTCTACCACTGTAAATACCCAGAGAAAGGAGAGTCACCACAGAGCTGGATCTCAGTCAGAGGTGATCAAGTACATAGAATCACAAATTTTTCTTAATATTATTTGATATTATAAATCCATCAATTACAGCACTATAATGTTTTTTGTGTTTTGGTGAATTTAATTCAGGAGCTTCATTCTCAGTGTTCAGTCTGCTCAGTCGTTTAATGGCAGTGTCTCCGTATCTGCTGGTGTCCGTCATACTGACCGTCAAATGCTGCAGAGGTAAGAACACAATTTCTTCATTAACCTGAATTAATTAATATAAAAACTAATAAATTAAAATTCGTTAAGGGCTAATTTGAAGTGTTCACCATTGTGTATTTCACAGTTAACCCTGATGAGCTGAACACAATGTGAGCAGTGATTGAAGATGGAGTATGTTGATGAGAGTCCAATGGGAAGTTTTTACATCATGATTATAATCTTATGGGCTTTAAGCTTCAACACCAGAAGTCTGCACTTTGTGTTTTTATAGTTTCTATGGCTGTGTTTTAAGCTTCATAGTTGAGGAACAGATTAAACCCCAAATAGAGGTCAGTGCAATAGAGACTTAGAAATAGTGACTCCACAAACTAAAATGTCCAGCAGATTAATTTATTCTCTCTCTCAGTAAGTCAGTAAGTGTGGTGTCAGTAATGAGATACTACTGTAACTATTTCAGGTCAAGACTGAGCCTTAAAACACAAATTATTCTCCATTTGTAAGACATTAATTTCTTTTTATGTAGATTTTGATAGATACTGAATGTTTTACTTGCTAGTCACTTCAATTCTTCAAAAATATCTGATAACTAGTGAAAATATTTCATTATGTGAATAATGTGTTCAATCACTTTTTTAAAATACATTTTTCTTTTACATTTATTGTTGTATTTTCCTGTTATTTTATATCCATTTTTAAATCATAGCTTATTTTGTTTAAAGGTTAAACAAACCTGAAATTCTGTTTTGTCTGTATGTTTGTTCTGAATGAATGAGTCATTTACAGTTTCTTGTAACTACTTTTGTAACTACCATTCATAACCTGTGTGGGCATTTCAGCACAATATGTTCTATATCAGGGTTGCCAGTGTGTGCTGACCATGGACCATGGAGACTCCTGCTCTCCAATACTGTGCAGAGAGCCTCAGCTGCATGTTCCATCCTGATGACACTGCTGCCTGCACAAACTCAAACTACTTAATCATAGACATTGTGTCACCTGCCTCACAAAACACATTCATATTCATACTAACAGATCATTATCAGACACTTAACAGGAGTCACTGGTTTTCACTGGTAACAGTGACTGATTTTCAAACATCTATTTCTCATTGTTAGCCTGTCAGGCCTTTAAAAGTAGTCACTGGTTGTCATTGGTTAATCTAAATAGTTCTGTTTTTTCTCTGTATTCAATATTGTATAATAATTGTAAGCTCTTATCCTTTGTTCATATTGCTCTTGTTGTGTTTTTGTTTTGCTATCCGGTGTCAATCAGAGGAAGATGGGTTCTCCTTTTGAGTCTTGATTCCTCTCAAGGTTTGTTCCTCTTCCTCTTAGGGAGTTCTTCTTACAACTGTTGCCCTTGGTTTGCTCATGGGGGCTCGGACCCAGATT